CTGGGGTACTTGCAGTCTTGTCATCAGGATTTCAACTTTAGAGCAGGTTGAGTTTTTTGAAACAGTATCTTCTTTTTTTCCTTTTTAAGTTAAGACAAAATAAAAATATATTTTGGTGTTTTCACATTTTTGTGCTCCTTCGGTTTGAAAAACGACTTGTATCTGCTTTAAATAATAAATAAAAATAAATGAGACTAGCAAACATTTAGGGTCTTGCTGAATGCCTATTGAGGTCAATGAGAATCTTTTTGCTGATGAGCAAGCAGGTTATTCAGGGAGAACAGTCTTAACAAATCATCAGTGTGAACAATGTGACAAGACTTGGGTTTTGTTTTCAAGCTTTCTAATAAAATGTGGATAGGCATGTTTTTGTGTAAGTGCAGAATGGATGAATAAATAACAGTCCTTGTGCAGCACAAGAGCAGGGTGAGATGGATAACTGAATGTAGTTGCATAAATAAATGCTGGTGCTAAGGCCCCCCTGTATGGATTTGGTTGCGGAGTGCATACATTGGCAGCTGCTCTAAGAAAATTTTACTTCTAAAACGGCATGTATCGACTGCTGCCTGTCTGGAAATGTGAATACGGATTAAATACAAACACAACTGATACCCTTGCATTTTACTGCTGAAATTCATGTGGCTGTTTACTGTGCTTGGCTGCAACCTGATATGGCCCATAGCTATAGCAGCATGTCACGGTTGTTGGAAGTTGCAGCCTTAGTGCAGTAGGTTCCATTTATTTTGTCAATAAGCCCATGACACCGGAGGATTTGTATGATTTGTTGCCTGCTGAAGCAATTATTTACATTTGAATAGAAGTCCAAATTGCATATTTTTTTTATATGAATGACTGCTTTATTGGTTCATTAATCCCAAATTGTAGCAGTCTCTTATTTGTATTTCTGTAATAAACCCCAAACCATTACAGTTCATATTTGGAAATGCTCACAAGCTTTTAAGTCAGTAATCTGTATGTTAAGCAGTCCCTGGATCTAGTGCTATCTCCTTGCAGTGAGCATCTAGGAGACACTCTCGTTTGTGTATGTTTCCCTTCCCACAAGGACCCGTGTGTGTATTCAGGTAAGTCCTCTTTTTGGTGCTGCAGTGGTGAGTGCGAAATGTCTTTATGGATAAGACACACAGAGGGAAATTTGCACGTCTGCATTCATCTCTTTTCCCTCTAGATATTTTGGGTAGGATGCATTGCCGTGAGAGAAAAACTTTGTGGGCTGTTGATTTGACTTACAGAAATGAAGGCAAGAGCAGCCCAGACTGTTGCTGGTGGGGCTTCCTGCTATGGGATGGAACCACTGAACATTTCTCTCTAAAGCTTGCTGTGCTCCAAGTTTGTCATCACAGCGTGAGAGGGGCACCCAAATCGCTCTGTCTCTCCCTCACAGTTTGTTCTGGATTGGTGTGTGCACGCATATGTACATATGTACCTGTGTGTATATGTATATGTTTGTGTTGGGAAGGTGGGTGCAAGTGTTTTTCTAGTGTGTGTGTTGCCCTCACTGGAACGGGATTCATCTGTATCTCCTGTCTCTGCTCTCATTCTGATGTTACTGGGAAGAAAAAGAAAATCTGGCATTGCCAGTTCTTGCAGGGATACAATTAATCTTGAGATGATCAGTGCATTTCCAAAAGCCTGAGCCTCTTAATCAGTTTAATGTGCTGGAATTGATCCTCCTTCCCACTCTCCCATCCTAGGTAGGGTCATAGTTTTCATTTATAGTGTTCCTTTATAGTGGGAATAGCTCAAGGACTGCACGTATGCAGCAGCTCTGGTCTCTGCAGATCTTTCTCTAAGGGTCTCCAGTAAGTGGGATGCCTCTGAACCTATTTATTTTGATAGAAAATCTTGAAACACACAAAACCTCTGGAATAAAAACCATCTTCTAGTCTTCCATTTCAGTAACACTTTAAAAAAAAAAAAAAACAAAAAACAAACAACCACCAAATATCTGAGTGTTGGGGACCTGCCTGAAGTTTTTGAACGCTTGGGGATGATAGTAGGAGAAACGCATGGTTAATGTGAATCTCTGTTCACTGAGTGACGGGATCAGCCAGGCAACCCTTGCTTGCAGCTCTCCCTGGCCCTGCAGGGGCCTCTTCAGTGAGTGCCCTTCCTCCTCCAGTACCCGTCTGCCCAGCTGTGGAGAACAGGTAACAGGTTGATCCTAGTGACAGAAGAACTTAGTACTCCCTGGGACAAGGGCAGCTTCCTCCAGATAAGCCTGTTCCCTGGAGCAGCTTTATTTTAATGTGCCTTAAGGCACTGAATAGTCAGGTGAAAGTCCTGTGATCTCTATCTTCTGTGGTTTTGAAACCTTTTCTTGTGCTTGTGCCCTGTCACCAGGCACTCTCTGTGTGACAACTGCCTAGGAAGGTGTGTTGGGTGAGGAAAACATGTCCCTTGTATTGAAATAAACTCATATTCTGCTTTCATGGTTTACTTTTAACATAGTACCTTTGGTGGCATCTCAGCATTTTTTCAATGGTAAGAGATGGTTATTTTATCAGAAAGTTTCCCTGCTGGAATATAGTCATGTAGTTGATAGTGTTTTCCTTTTAAAGTACATGACCTGGCCTCAAGTTGAGTTTGGTTGGGACTTTTTCTGCTCCATGCACAGATTGCAATAAATTGTTTTCATGACATATTAGTAACCTGCTGGGAAATGAGATGCCTGGATTAGGTGATGTACTTATTGCCATTAAGTAATGTAGAAAGTCAGAACCCATAAACCTGAACATGCTGCAGCACATACTCGTAATCCAAACATATTGTTCATAGCTGGGAATGATTTGTCAATCTGATTTTTTTTTTTTTTTTTTCCCCCTTGTGTTGCCTGGAGACTTTTATGCCTTCTGCTATTGAGTTACCTGGAACAGGAGCATAGCCCTGGCTCTTCTCCAGGCTGCCTGGAGAAGGAAGCATGCTCAGTGCAGCTCGGTGACCTTCACTGCAGGGGCAGGCGTTTAGGGACCTGCGGCCAGATCGAGCAAGAAGCACCCAGGCAGCAGACTGGATAGCCCCCAGGGGCAGTGGTGACAGCCAAAAGAGAGCCTTTCCCACCCCTTCCCACGGCAGGAGTGGGAGGTTTCCCAAGTGGGAATGAGCTGCTGCCACTAATGGGAGGCAACATCTGGGTTTTGAGAGACCCACATGGCAGAGCACATAAGGACTTTCCCCTTAGGTCTAGCCCTTCAAGTAGATAATGTAGAGCAATTAATCAGCGTTTAATGTTTTTGAATCACTGCAGGACTGGTCAGTAATGACATAGACATTTTGTCCCCAGCTGTTCTTTGTATTTCAACACTTGTTTTCCTTTTTGCTCTGAAGAGGCTGAATTCCCAAGGCTCTACCAGCTGTGTGGCTATGGGGTTTGCTGTGTGAAAGCAATCCTGTCTTGAACTTGATTTATTATTTACTTGAAGTAGCTTTCCTGCTAGAGAAGTTGCTTAAAACCTCAGAGAGCTCATGGTTGCCTTCTGCTTACTTCAGGCCACTAGTAGTCAGCTCTTGAGGTGTTTGCTCCTCCTGTAGGGCCATTTATCTTCCTTTGCAGGGTAAATAATTGGGTGGAATAAATAGACAATAGCAGTGGTAATGAAGAAATAGATATTTAATTAGGTGAAGAATAATGTAACTTATTTATCCCATAAAATGCCTAGTGGAGAAAATGGGCTTCTTTGTGAAGATACTCTGTGATTTTAGCAATGGTTGGAATCCTGTTTTCTTAACTGTGGTTAAATATTAGTTACAATTAACAATTTTAGAGTGTTGCTGCTTGGTGGTTCTTAAGGTGTTTCACTCACTTTTCATGTTGATGCTTTCAGATTTTATGTATCTGTAAAAATGTATGTATATAGATGTATATATATACACAAATACATACATAAACACACACACCTCCTAGAGCAAGAGTTAATTCTTGATTCTCCCCTATGAGTTTTCTTTTTCAGGTTGTATGGGTTAAATGTTTAGGTAATTGCTTGTTGTAGCTCTCCTCTGTTGTCCAGACAATCTCTTCCCTCTGAGTCTCTTTTCACAATCGATTCTCATGCCTCTTTTAGAAGAAGCGGTCTATTCCCCTTTTTCTGAAATGTTTAATTCTAAGTTCTTTCAAAGGATGATAAAGTGGGGCTCAGTTACAAGTAACTATTGTTTTCCTCTTGTCATTGCATGTAGATTTTTGGAACCAATTTGTTGGGACAATACTTTTTTTAAAAAAAAATTGATTTTATTGTCAAATTTCAGTCTTTGTTCTTTTTTTCTCCTAATATCACACATCATGTATCCATCTCCTTAATTAAAGCTTTTCTATCCTTCTGTTTATTAGGGAACCATCCTTGATTACACTATAGATTTAATTTCTCATGACTATTTTATATTCTTACTTTCATGTGGGTTATAGCTTGGTAATGTTTAGAAATAAGTATTGTCTAAAAAAACCTGACAGATCTTTGGCAAAATGCAGTTGGTTGTCACTTGAAGTGACTACAAGCCTTCTTTTTAAGAGGATCGTCCGTCATACAGAACAGTCCAGTAATTCTTATGTCTATTGCAAAGATAGTACCTATTACAATATATGATTTAGCCTGCTATTGCAACTTTGTTGTGTAGATTGAAGTTGAAAGGGGGTGACAGTTCTGCACTCCAGAGGGACAGAAACCCAAGGGTCATGAATTCTCTTCAGGCATGGACACAAAGCTGGATCCGGATTTGTAAGGAAGTATCCTTGCGTAGATGTAATATTCCTTTTATAGAGTATCATCAGGATAAACTGAAATGTTGCGGAAGGGAGAGGAGGAGTTTTCAGCATGCATAAAACTGAAGTAGAACCTTTGCTACACTAATATATGTCACTTGCTGCTATTGCAGGTTTCAAAGAGCAAGGTAGAAACAGAAGAATGAGGAAAATCAGATAAAATTCTGATCAACTAGCATGCGTAAAGATTAATCTTAAAATATTATTATTTTATTCTCGTTCATAGCATGGCCGGACCCCCCTACATCTTGCTGCCCACAAGGGTCATCTCCACGTTGTCCAGGTTTTGTTGAAGGCAGGTTGTGACCTGGATATTCAGGATGACGTAAGTAGATACAACCATCTTGCTTGGGGTGGAGGGGAAAGGTAATTTGCAAATAACAGTAGACCTTTGCTTCTTTGAAGAAGGATTAAATGAAAGCAAAATCTGTCTCTCTTCTAATTTGGAGAGGTAACTTCTAATTGGAGGTTACAAAACTGCATGGGAGACAATGTAAAATGTGGTGGTTTTCAACAAATAGCTTGCTCAAGCTGCAGAGTTCTGGCTGTGCCGGGCAGGTGTAAGTAGCAGTGAGAGTTCTTGTCTGCTGCTTGGTGTAGAAATGAAATAAGAGTTCGTTGTACCCTGTGGAAACCCCCGGAAGGATGTCAGGTAGGGGACACAATTTAATGTGATGTTTGCCTGAAATGGGAGATTCTTTTTGTGTAGACACATGTTGCAGTGTATCGGGTATTGAGCAGCTGCCCGGAGCACCATGCGGTCTCGCAGGGAAATTGTCCTGCTGGCAGCTGCGCTTGGAGCGGGGGTGGTCGCATCTGTGAGGCTGCTGTGTGCTGAAGCATCAGCACAAAGAAACCAGCTTTGAATTTAGCAAATGGTAGTTTGTTTTCATTCAGTAAAATATGTAAGTTATTGGAATTTCTCAGTTTTCCATAAGAATAGTCTGGAGTGACCGGTAACATGGTTTTAGTTAACTCACTCTGATGGACGAAGGTGTAGGCTGAAATGTGCAACAGCAGTTGAATAACCATGACTTCTTCAGATGCGTTGCTAACCTCGGATAGCACACTGGAACAAGTTTGAGGAAGGGTTGCTTTTATTCCCCCTGTAATAAAGAAGGTGAAGATTGTTCACAGGACAGAGAGGTCCAAAGGTGGTTAGTAGAGGCACCTGTATGAGTATTAAAAGGACACTGGAAATGTCTGGGTGCCTTTTCCAATGCCCCTAGGCATTTGTTTGCAACTAGAGAGTCTTAAATATCTATAGAAATTGGAAAACTGGTTTCCTTCCCTGCATGAGTAGCTGCTTTCCAGTGAGATGTGAGCAGTCTGTCTGACAAGCTTAGGACAGGGGTACTGGTGCAACCAGCTTTCTACTGGGAAACTTGTTTTTCTAGGAAGAAACTGTGCTTCCTGCACTCTATTCTTTCCCTATGCCCATTTGTGAAATGGAGCAGATTTGCAAGTGTAATGGGAGTATCAGTTTATTCAGATGTATCCTGAGTATGTTTTTCGACTTCTCCCAGCAGAAATGATTCATCAGGTATTTTAAAGCAAAATTGCAGGTACTTTACAAGTACAATCAGTGTTCCTGAGAAAAGCAAGTTGATGCTCTAAGAATGCAGGAGTTTCCACTGATTTGATCAAATTGAGTTTCTGTGAAAACTGTTTTTTGAGTAAGTATGGGGTTTTTTAATCCTTTAGGAATAAAATCTAGACTGTTTATATGTAAACATGATAGGCATAATGGAAAAACAGTAGATCAGTGTTTAGCATCATTTCAGTTCAGTGAAGAGCCTTGCACTGTAGAAATATTCAGCTGGTAGAAGACCTAGTCTTCTTCTTGCCTTGCAAGCTTCCCAGCCTTTGTTCATGACAACTGGATACTGCTTCTAATGTGGTGACTGATGTGAACGGAACAGATGCATGCTTGATTCACAGATAATGTTTCTTTAAAATGTATTTTGATTTTAGATCTGTATTTAGTACTAGTAATTTGGTTGGGGTTGAGGAGAGCCTCGGGAGATGCTTGAGTCTCAGAGGGTGTGTCTCAGAGGAGGAGGAAGGCTAAAGCTCCAAGTGAAGATTTTTGTTTGTGAAAGGTATTAACTAAAATATTTCTGCTTTCCTTTTACATAGGTCTTCAAAGAAGGTTTGCTGCTTATGCTTTCTCCTTGTTTAATTCAGTTTTACACTTTATTTATGCACTACAGAATATGTTAATATTCTCTTTTAGTTGCAATCTATTGATTATGCCTTTGGTCAATTTTACTGTGTGCTTATTTGGCACTGAAGGCATCTTAGTTTCCTTTGTTGATTAACACCTGTACATTTCATTTCTGTTTTTCAGGAATACAGATTTAGGTTCAGCAATTAAATCGCTCATGAGAGTGGGGATATCATATAGTTGATTTTTGTTTGTGGCATTGTTGTGATAACACAAAAAAAATCTTCAGATTCTAAAAAGACTGCCTATATATTATTTTTCTAAGTAAGAAGAGAAACCTAAACACATTATATTTTGGAGTTTACTCTCTTTAGCTAATGAACAAATGCAAAACTAACTTTTCATCTGCCACATGCTGAGCAGAAACTTTAAAGTTGCTAAATGTTGTGGAGAGATTATAACAGTCACTTCATGTTCTACAGATATATTCTTTAAAACACAGTAAGAGCTGTAAGAATTAGTTGAAGAATGACCTCCAGTGGCCTGGAGTGGGATTATTATGAATTTCAACCGGTGGAGTCCAGCTCTGTAGAGTACGCCACCCCAGGAGCTAACTCTTTCCTTCTCCCTGCCAATACTGAAAACTCTTACTGGGATCCCAATGCCATCTCTGAATGGTCAATGAGTATCCATACAGCACACACCTCAGAAATAGTCAAGGAGAAAGTTGTCCCGGTGAAGGAAATCAAGGATGAAAAAGATAAGAGAAACCAGAAGAGAAAGGCTAGGAAGGAACCTAGAAGATCAGAAAGAGAGAAGGAGGTTAGAAATCTTGTGCATCAGCCCTGCCTTGAGCTTGATGTCTCCCACAGCTGCATGCTGCAAAACCTTGGCCTGGCGGTCTGGCATGACCGAGCTCTTCTGCAGTGCATGACTGCATGGCAGGCTTTGTGCTGGGTGCTCTGCAACAAGTTCCCTGCCCTGTATGCGCTCTCTAAAAATCTAACTGGGAAAACAAGTTGATTTAAAACAAAGGCCTGAGGCCCTGAAACTCCCCTTCTGGAAGCTCCAGTTTAAGAAGCAGAAAATTAATTTCAGATGGAACAATAACTCAGGGTTCGTAATCATTTCTAGCTGAATGTAAATATGCAAAGTAGCTTATTCCTGTACTGCCATTTCAGTCTCATTTAAGCTGTAATTTGTTTCGTTGATGATTATATTTTCATGCCTTGATCACTTCTGCTGGTCATGCATCATCATTTATCATTCAGAGTGAAGTTGTTCTTACTGTGTATCATGATGACTGTCTTTCTTGGCAAAGAAGGAGAGCAGCACAGTGACACTGAGAAACACCAGGGCACATCAATTTGCCTGTGTGTACAGCTGCTTCAGGATATCCTTGTATGCTTGTATGCTCCTGCGAGGGTTTAACGCTATTTTAACTTTAAAATATTTTGAACTTTCTACCCTGAACTTAGTGGTTTGATTTCATAGTATAAGACTTGCAAGTGCCTGTCCAGAACTTTGTATGAGGGATCGAAGGCATGAGTTTTTGCTAGATATTTTGGTGCAATTCTCCTGTAGCAAGACTGGTGATTTCTGCAAACATGGAAAGACAGTGAGGAGGCAAAGTGTGACACTAGAGAGGGGCTTTAAAGGAGATCGTACAACTGATGGATGCTCTGGAGAATAGGAGTGTGCAGGAAAACAAAATATGGTGGTTATAGTAATTTTTTTTAATCAGAGAAAGGAAAAAGTAGTATGTATGACAAACTAGTGTAAATCTTTTTAAATTTGGGCAGTAGTTTATAATAGAGACTCTAATAACCCAGGAGAGCTCACAGAAGTAATAATATCTACCCAAAACCCTTTTGTAAGTTGCTTGTGTTGCTTCTTTTCCCTTGGGGTGAACTTCAAATGTAAAATAGATGCCTATCCAGTTCCTAGGTGCCTGGTCCCAGTGGTTTCATCCACGGCTTTAAGTTAGTCAGCAAATGAGGAAACTCAAGGAGGTATTTACATACAGTAGGACACTGAACAAGCACCACCGGCCCAGCCATCACAGAAGTGCTAAAGGAAAGGGTAATGCCAAAATCCATGGAGAAGGTCAGCATTTAGGTATCTGCCTTTCTTCAGGACTCCCAGCCTCTAACCCTCTCCTAAAAATAGGTGTTTAAGCTCTCTATAAAGAAAGACGTACCTGCTGGTGCTGGGCCTTGCTATGCAATAGCCCTGTTACAGATAGCGCTCTCAGGATGTGCAGTCCTGCATCCTCTGCACCAGGGAATGCAGACTCCTATCCCAGTCTCCCAGTGACTCATTCTCTCTAGCCCAGTGAATTTTTCTTTTTAAGACTTTTCTTAAAAGTGGAGCACTTTCAACATAGCAGTGCTCTTACAGCAAGACAAACTGGGCAAATACCATAACCTCTGGGCTGCTGCAGAATTGCCAACGTCCACCTCCTTCACTGGCCTCGTTTCAAAGAGCCCTGGGAAATAGCTCCAACTTGCATGGAGCTTCTTCCAGCAAGCATGCAACGAGGGTGCTCACAGGGTGAGAGAGAGAAGGGGAGATGGCTGCGTTAGGGGCTGTGGCAGGGCGTGGGCTGTGCTATGGGACAACCTCCTCAGTGCCACCATGACTGCAGTGCCCTGTGGCAGCGTGCAAGCCGAGATGTCCGGGGTGTTGGAGTGGAAACGCCTGAGTTGAGTTGCTTTCAGGGCTAAGCAGCAGCTGAGGAAGAGGATTTAAGATGCACCAGTGTAGACTTAAGTGCTTTATTTCTACTGAGCCTTACTTGAGAATCTAAGTGTCTTTTTGGCTTCAGGCCCACATCTGCATTTAGGCAGACACTGTTGTTTCTATCAAGGTCACATTTGCGTGACACAGCACTGGAGTTATCTCTCTTCATTGCTACTGATTTGCAATCTGTTCCTAAAACATAAATCACTTACAAATAGGATCATAAATTGTGCCCAACATAATAGTCTGGGCAGTTAATACACATTTACCAGTGTAATTGCTCTCTGAGCCTCTGGAACAGCCCCTCAAATGCCTTGCTAAAGGCAGAACTCTGATGAGTGCCCTCACTGACAATTATTTTAGCAATTAATAAAAAGATACAGGAGTCAGTGATTACGGTTTCTGAAAATTCACACTGTAAAAAAATATAACAACTCATCTATTTTCTCTGACTCTATAGGAGACAGGATAGGGGTTTGCTTCTCTGCTGATGGGGAGGCAAGGCAGCTTAGAAACGCAGCGGTGCAGGCAGTGTTATTTATAGGTGGGCAACGCCATCTGTGGCTGGGTCGCTCAGTGACTCGTACGCAGAGGACGTCTCAATCTGGTGTTCAGCTTCCACAGCACGTGAAGCAGTGGTGTGGAAGGTTAATGTGTGTGCTGAGGTTCGAGGGAACGGTTTACCAGGTCCTGCCCTGCTGGCTGAGGGACCTGGGGGTGGTAGGGACCTTCACCAGGACATTGGTACCTGCCATCTCTTCACTGGGAGGTGCCTCAGTCCAGGTGAGTGGGGTTTGAGATATCATTGACACTCCCTGTTACATGGATGAGGTATTTATTTTCCTGGTCAGGGTGCTGGTTGGACCTTACTCAGATGCTTGTCTCTCCCCATGCTTGTGTAGGGAAGATGTCAACACCAAAGCCCACACCTTAGGCAGGAGGCACCTGAGCCTGCCATCCATGGGACTTGTGTCCCTTCACCTACCCGGGCTTCCATTTTGGGGACCAGAATATAGTATTGGACAAAGCCCAGGCATGGCTGAAGCTGTCCCAATACCCTTTTGCAGCCCCAGTGAATGCCACGTGGGCTGGGGTCCCCAAGGGAGGCTTGCTTCTGCAGCAGTGAGGTGTGATTCCCACTTTCCAAATATGTGTTTATTTTTAATTTAACCAAGATGCCATTAGAAGTAGCTGTCATATCAACAAACTCCCAACAGCTGAATGGCCTTTGACCTCACTGCAATTACTGTGATGAGGTCTGTCTAACAAGAACAGCTTTGATTTAAACCGGCCCAGCGAGAAGATCCTCAAACTAAATCCAATACAATCTATTCCTGCCCCCAATTTGTTTTTTTCCACAGTCAGTTTTCTAGACTGTAAAGAAGTAGGAACCAACCATTCATTGTTCAAGCTCCATCCATCGCAACGGCAGATGTCATCATGTTTTAGTCTTTAATACCTTCTGTAGTTCTGCTGGTGCAGCAATACCAGTTGGCAGGGATAGGTTGACAGATTACTTTCCATTTCACAGTGGTCAGATAAAATGACCTTCACGCTGTCCACATCACCCGTTGCTGCAGTAGCAGTAGCTGTGCCAGTCATCAGTACCACGTGTTATCAGAAAAGGGTGTTAAGTTCTTCCCTGGCTTGTTAGTGAGCAGATTTCTGTGTAGTAATAGTTACTGAAAACTATCTGACACTTGCACTTGTGAGATGGTATAATTTGAACATTTTCCGTAACATCTTGGTTATCTGTAAATTTGGAACAAATACATAGGTTCAGAGAACTTGCAGTCCTGTCAGTTTTCTAATATTTTGTATTTTTCTGAAAGTCCCATTTCATGGAACCATTACTGTCTTATTTCAAAATCTCTTAAAATACATACCCAGTTGTAATAGGGAAGAGAACAAAAGTAAAGAGTATGTAACCTCTAGAGACAAAACATAGACAGCAAAATTTTTAAGAAGCCTTCAACACCATTTCTAAAAATCTACTTCATAAGCCAAATCAAATTCGTAAGACAATTTAATAATTTACCGGGGGGGGTGTGGCATTACAAGGGTTACTGAGAGGTTGTAGTTGGCAATGCTCATTTTTCCCTTATGGATTAATAATTATTTTGTTTCTCATTAGTACAAAACAACTGCACCAAGAGCAATTTTTAAGTCAGCTGCTAATTGCCTTTGTCAACAAACTATTGAAATTATCCAGTTACCTAAAGACTTGTAGACTGCACGACAGAAAATACAGAAATTCCTCTAGTTTTAGTAATTAATAGAATGTGGTATTATCTGATAAAGATTTGTAGCAGAAAAATTTTCTATCTATTTAGGACTAGCTTATTGGAAGATTTTTATTTTTTTTCCCTCAAGCTACACTGCATATCTCTGCCTGTGTGTGTTTTTGGTGACTGTTATCTAGACAAGCAGAAGTGGATTGGGTTCCCACTCTGTATATTCATCCCCAGAAAAGGCTGTGTGCAGCTTTGAAGCTAGTCTTTGTGCCTGGTCTCAGGCTGTGCTTCAGCACTGCAGGTTCAAAATGACTTCAAAGGAAAGCCAAGACGGGTTGTTGTGGCAGCAGTGGAGCTACTGCAGCTTATTTTCCCGTCAGTCAGTGTCTTACATCCCTACATGCTGCTGCGTAAATTCTCCTATTCCCTGTCTTTTATCACGGTCTCACCAACATGCACATAAAAATATATAGATAACCCCCGATGGGCAGGGCTGGTAGTTTGTAACTCCCTAGTCTTCAATTTCTGTAAGGCTTGTAGAAAATTAATCTTGGGCCCTATAGCTCAGCAAATGAGTTCAACAGTTGTTAGAGGAGAGATAGATGGGCAATCTGACAAGATGATCTCATCAGCATCATTTCTTTTGGAAACTTGGCCATAGAGGAAATGAACTGATGTAAGAAACTTGCTTCTTGCTGCTACATGGCAGGTCAATACGAAATGAAAGTCGTTTGGACCTCAAGATAGCTCAGTTGTTGCTTGAATGAAAGAAGTTGATCGTCTTGCAGTTGTTGTCCTCATCATAAAATTGCCTCCACTCTTAGCACTAATCGGTAAATCCATCAGAGGTGCTGAAGAGACTGATCTCATCTCATGCTCCTTACCCTAAGCGGGTCTGATGGAGCAATCAGAGCCAAAACAGGAGAGCCTCATCCAGTTAGTGTAAGTACTGGAGGATCATTATGATGAATTGCACCAGCCTGTAATTCCCTTTAGTTCCCTACAGATACTGCTGATTATTAGACACATAGTGCCAAATGTGTTAGATTCACTGCCTTCTAATGCTACCATATTTTTAGAACGCTTCAGCACTGTATATAGGATTGTGATGACTTGCAAACTTCTGTGAATACTTGGTTTGTGGCTCTCTGATACTTTCAATAACTTCATTAATCTTGGAAACTTTAATGATAGTTGTTTACAGGGACTGTTTTCAAAGGCAGCTTGGATTTAAACAGTACATGAGTTGAAGATGCAGTGCCTGTGTGTGTTGTATGCATTTGCATTGAGTCAAAATGAGGTGGCAATGGTACCGATTACAAATCTGCTGTTTTTTGCAGGGTGATCAGACAGCACTGCACCGGGCTGCTGTCGTAGGGAACACCGATGTTATAGCAACTCTGATTCAAGAGGGGTGTGCTTTGGACAGACAAGATAAGGTACCAGGCAAAAGTAAATCCCTGTGGGATGGCAGCCTTGCCAGCTCATAATATTAATGTCTCAGAGAGAAAGTTATGGTTTACACTACTAAGTATCTGGTGCTTTGAAAGTAAGTGGAACTACTACACTGGAAAAAAGCTGTACCATCTCTTTAATATAAATTATTGATTTAGATATTTTTATATATCAGGCTAGTAGTTTTTGGTTTAAGAGTCTGTTCTCAGCTCATTAAGGGAGGAATTAAAGACATTTACAACTGTACTATGACATGTGCAAAACACACTGCCGAGTTTCTCTTGCTTATCCCAGAAACTGAGAATCCTAGGTTGTAAATTTAGTTTGGGAGTAAATATAACTAATTCCAAGTTCCAAACAAAAGGAATAACAATATTGTTTTACAGTCTTCTAAAAATAAAATAGAAATTAAGCTAGTGGGAAAATGTTTTATTTTTTTAAGTGAGCAGGTGGGGTGCGTGGCTGCTGTGTTCTAAATGTAATGTTACTCTGCATGTGGACACAGTGCACTAACCTTCTCTTGTGTGTGTGCTCTTCAGGATGGGAACACTGCTCTTCATGAAGCTTGTTGGCATGGGTTCAGTCAGTCTGCCAAAGTGCTCGTTAAAGCAGGAGCCAACGTTCTTGCCAAGAACAAGGTGAGACCCATGCAGCTTTCAGTTCTGGTGTAAGGTGGCTGATTCTCAGCACGGGAGATTTCTGGCCATGGCATTTCACAGTGGGTAGAGGACCAGCTCCTAGTGGGATTTTTTTTCTTCTTTTTTTGCATTTATTATGCCTGAATGGTTCCTCCACAGGCATTAGGAAATACATATTTTGACAGCTGACACAGGAGGAACTCAACAGCATGTTGAATGATACATTAATTACAGCTGAGGAACATTGCAATTCCTGTGGAAATCTCCATGGTGCTCTCATTTATACCAAGCAGATTCATTATGATTGGTGTGATTTAAAATGAAAATTAATTGTATTAATAAGAAAATGTCATTCAAAATGCGTATTTTTCTTTTCAGAAATTAAACAGCCAAAGGAATGTAAGAGGGGGAAAAAAACACTTTTGTTAGAGAGCCCTTCCTAATATATTAGTGTAGGCTTTTACCAAAATCTTGTAATGAACCTGGATTGCATTTCTTTTGGTATTTAGAATACCTTGAGAGCAGTTTAGAGGAAAGAATAACAAAGCGAGGGGTTTTAGTTCCACTTTAATTCTAATACCTGTGGGAGATTTCAATTCACTAATTCAAAAGTTGATGGAATAGTCTAGGAAATGGTGGTAGCACCCTATGGTGTGAGCGGAGTCAAGGTTTGGACCACAGTGCTGATGGGTTGGTCAGGTCACGCGGTTGGCACCACGTCCTTCATTACAGGCAAGGGGGCTTTAGGATGGATTTATGGGATGTCTGGGCATTTTTTGGTAAAAATGTCTCTAAAATGACAACTGAAATGGGCTGGAAAAGAAAGGGAAGACAGGAGACAACTCTGGCCAAAGTCGTAAGATTTTGAGTAAAAAGGCATGTTGCCTAGGCATAGTGTTTTATACATGCACATGTATGTGTGTGTATATATATATGCATATGTTTATACAATCATCACTTTTTGGTCTGTAATTACATCATCTTTGATATTATTTTATGTGCATTCTTTCTTTTATATTGTTCCAACTTCCAATTTTTATTTTCTGTAATTATTTTTTCTGTAATGTTCACCTAGATTCATATCAAAGGTACTTTAGACAACTTCCCATGCTTGACTTCATAGTCTTGTAAACTAATATACGCCTATCCCTGGATACGCTTGTCTGTGTACATACATATACTTCTGTACAAAGATGTGGTCTCAAGATGAAGTCTGGTTATCCAGCATGCTTGGATGCCTCAGGGTATTAGAAAATTTAGCATATGTCAACTGGACATAACCTCTCTTGGAAAGTGTGTGCACAGAATAGCTCAGCAGGGTTGATGTCTGAAATACAACTGGCAGACTTTAATACTGCATGAGCAGCTCCTGTGCTGGCCTTTGAAGTCTTAACCCACGCAATCCTCTCCCTTTGCATTTCACTGTTTGGGTGTTCTTTAATGGGCAGGATCATTTCTCAGGAGCTGCTGAAAAATGCGAGAATTGTGCATGCTTGCATACATGCACGTGCTTTTACCCATTCTGATTTTAAGAAAAATGAAGAGCTTAAATCTACTTAATCCCAAAATGGTTTCTCTGGTCTCTCAACTTTTTATGTTACTGGCAACAAGGCATAATCTTTCTGATAGCTTTTCTGGCAGCCAGAGCTGAGTGCCATGTGCAGGAGCACCCTACAGGCTGTTGACGTACACATGGGCGTTGTGTGATTTTGGCTGGATGGGACAGATACAGGCTGCTAGATTTGTGAAACCCTGATAAGCAGCAAAAGATGGGAGGGGTTTGACTCTATATTGTCTGTAACTCCTGGTTAATACCTCCTGGGGCTGATTGGGGAGTGGTTGTATGAATGCACTTCTCCAGCACAGCACCTTGAGCACAGTATTTGAAAGAGCAATGCAACTGAAGATGGCTTCTATATTAAGTGAAATGAAGAGGCCAGACAGGACACCTGTGATTTTAACAGCAAGTCAGGCAGGCATTTGAGGAGTGGGACAACACATGGGTGGGTAGACCACCTGGGTAGCCATATTTCTACTGTGCAGCATTTATTATTTTCATTCAAGTTGGCTTAATAAAAACTCTTCTGCTGTGATAGATCATCCCATGATATCAGTTGTAGCCTTCTTTTTAGGTCCTCCATCAGTCTGTACATTTCCGTGAAGATTCAGTAGACCAGTGGAGACCCTCAGATCGGTACAACTCAGACCCACCCTGCCCATCACAGAAACTGGTGAGAGGTTTTTCACCATGGGGGATTGGAGCCGGATGAGCCTGCTCTGTGAGCTCTGACCCCAGGCACCAGCACCATAATGACTTTTCCCAGCATTGAGATCCTCGCCCATCACCTACTGCACAAGACTTCCCTGCCTTCCCACCAGGGCTGACCTTCCAAACAGCAAATGATAAATACATTGCAGAGGCTTTTCAGAGATAAACCCAGGAGGGAAAAACATTGGCATTTAAATGCAATTTAGCTGAGAAAGAAAATGTTCATGTCTGCCACCACTTAGAGACTACATTCAAGCCTGAAATAGTCTGTAACATGGAACTGAAGACCTAAGACCACATCTAAGAGTTGGCCTTTTGTAATTCAAACCCTACGGCTTTGATCTGTGTCTTGAGATCACGGGGGACAAATGAAAGGATGTAATCAAGGTGAACAGGCAGCCGAGTAAGCATGGGAAATCTTTCTACCTGAGCTGATTTCATTTGTAGCTCCCAAGAGTCAAAACTCCAAACATTTTCAGGCCAACAAAAACTGCCAGAAAAACTTGTCAGACCAATAAAATGCTTCACAGTGTTAGCAAGACAATACACAAGCAAACTCTTCTTTGATTTCTGTCCATAAAAATTGCATGTCTGCTTCTTTCAGGAACCTTAGCATGTGATTCTCTGGGGCTTGGGTGGCATATTTTTTCCCTTCTCATCTTGGCTGGAGACTGGCATTCTTTCTGAACACTGAAGGTTCCCGATAGCCTAAAATCTGCACCCTGCCCTGTGAGAGCACCTACAGACCCAGCCAGCCTTGGAGCTGGTTTGTGTAACAATCATAAACAGAAATGGTTGTGACCCTCGTCTGCCTAACACCCTGCAGCGGTTGCGGCTGTCTTTGCTTGAGATCAGAGTGCCATGCCATGGCCGCGTGTTTCTTTGTATGTGCATGGGTGAAACCTGAAACACGAGAATTATATTTCTTTAAATGAAATACTTGATAGTGCTGTTTTGATGTTAATGAACCAGGCAGCTTCTAGACTCTTTGCTTCCTGCAAACAGACTTGAGCAATGCAGATATCATTTAGACTGTCCAATTTCTGCCTTTACTGTATCCCAGATAAATCATTTCCAGGATGAAGAGGGTATTTCAGTCTCCAGGTTTATTCATCTCATATCTTTGGGAAAAAAACAGCAACAGTTTCCCACCTCTGGGTAGATCTTCTTTTGGGAAGATCTGTGAGGTTTTATTTTTTTAATGGTTATGTCCAATTTCTAAATACAGCTTTTATATTTTCCTGTATTTCTCTAAGGCAGGTAACACACCTCTTCACCTGGCTTGCCAGAATAGCCATTCCCAGAGTACTCGTGTTTTGTTACTTGGAGGATCTCGAGCAGACCTCAAAAATAATGTGAGTTTTGAAAAGAGCATGTTCGGTTTTGTGTGTCTTTGTTTTAGCTATATTGCTTTAACTTGTGGAAATACTCAGAAAAAGCTTTAAGCTGTGATTTTTATTATAAATGCTATTGGAAAAAAACCACTAACAAAGCACTGTGTACATCATCTCCAGGAATGCTTTTGATAGGACTTGAGTGATGGACTACTTGTACACATCTCTTGAGCCAGGATGGCAGGAGCCAAAGTGGGTTTTGCTGTCACACAGACTGAGGCAGCTGGTCCTTTGCTGCTTTTCGGGGTCCTGATGTCCTGACCCACTGTCGTACAATTCTGCAAAAGGGCTCCTCTCTCAAAAAGACAGAAATATTAAAGGGGTTTTATGCCAGAGCAGTGAAAATCTTCAGACCTGCCCTCACTGAGACAGATAAGATATACTGTGTGTTAGTCTGTTGAATGAGGTACATTCAAGGTGACTTCAATTTCAGACAGCTTTCCTCCTATTTTATAATGATTCTGCCATGACAAAGGGAAAGAAAAAAATCTACAAAAGGAAGCCAGATGTTTCTGACCTTGCTCAGTGACAAGGTGGGCAGAGGCATACAGAAATGGAAACTCGCAGGGCTCTGCTCCCAGCTCCCAGTCCCAGCTGCGCATGTGCCACCCCTCATGGGGACGCTTCTCTGGCCTCCGCTCCTCATATTTTCTTCATTGTGTGCAGTTTCCAGATGACGTTGGTTTGCAGTTCAGAAGAACACATTTAATGTAAAAATGTAAACCTGGTTTTGTAGTGCAATAAACCAGCATTTTATAATTCCAGTATTTCCCATCAGTGGTTAAAGAATTTGTACCCCCACCTTGCCTGAGCCCAGCTCTCGCTAAACCTTCCCACCCATGATAGTAGATTTTGGGCCACAGAGAAGACAGCATTGCTGTTCAGTGGTGGTGTGTGGCATTTACTGCTTTTTTTTTGTTTAATAGGATTATTTCATCCCTGAACACCATGACAAGCACAAGCTTTCTTACTGCAATTACATGCTCAGAGTTTTGTTTCTGTTTGCAGGCAGGAGATACCTGTCTGCATGTGGCTGCTCGTTATAATCACTTGCCCATCGTTAGGGTGCTGCTCAGTGCTTTCTGTTCTGTCCATGAAAAGAACCAGGTCAGTGCATGAAACTCATCGTGACTCTGTGCCCTTTGCATACGGCTAGTTGTTGGGAAGAGGGATTCCTACCCAAGCAATCCCGTTTCACTGTACCACCAAATGCCTGAGCTTTTAAGAGTAACCTTAAAGTAATGGCATATCAGTGGTTTATTATTTTGCCATCACATTTGCATCACTTCTTTAAAGCATTGTCTATTTATGAGGTTCTGCAGTTGTATGTTGCTGTAGAAGAGGGGTTTGGGACAGGGGTAGTAACATAGGGTCATGGCCATTACAGAGATATTGTGAAGCACAACTCACTAATGTTCAGATGCTACAAAAATGTGAATTCTTTTGGAAGAGTTTTCTTTCTGCATTTTGCAGTAGAGGGAATTAAAAGGACGTAGAAGTGAAGAAAAAGTATGCTTTATATTCAGAGTAATGATCAGTCTAACCTAGGATTAATCCTAGAGTAGTAACTGTAGAGAAGTAATTGATTGCTATACTTAAACCATAATCTAATTGGGTGGTAGAAGGGAATGGATTTAGTACATTAAAATGTGTTAAATCTGCTAAATAAACAGGTGATGTGGTGCTTAACCACATCGCCTCATGTTCCTGAGAAATTTTCTATGTGCAGTTGAGGATCATAAAGATATTTTGTGATCTGTTTAATCTTGTTTCTTAGATATGAAATATTACAGCAAACAAAATGGGTTTCAGCATGTTAAATTTACTATGTAATTTTATTTGGAAACGAGTTTTTTTTAACTTGCAAACTGCGCTACTGAATATTAAAATTAACTGGTGTGAACCTGGCCCAGAAGACACCCCTTTCCTTCATTCCCTAGCACTACCCAAAGTTGGCCCATTATTTGCACATATAACGATTTTATTTATGAATATGCCTCACCCAGACTATCAAGAAGCAATAGATTTCCACTAGTCTCGAGGAGATCTAATTTTCTGAAGGCAAAATGCAAGGCAAAGGGGACAGGAGGGCATGATATACACACGTCTGGGCTGCCTTGAACAGCTGCTGTCTCTGTTACTGGTGCCCGAATCTGATCACAGCTATCTTCACCTCACTGCACCGGGGACAAGGGCAGGGCTGTGTATTAGTGCTGGACCTGGATCGCCTCCTGGCTTTGGTCCAGGAACTCTTTTTCTTGAGGAATCTCATGAAGAGAACACCAACCATCTCGATGCTGGTACTTATCTGATTGTTTTTGAGTAATGTGATACGTGATCACCTGTGCACCAAATAATCAAATGTGCAAAAAAAAAAAAAACGAGAGAGAAGGTTGTGGTGGGAAAACCGGTTCTGCCCTCAGATGTTGTATCTGTTTGCTGGCAGTAAAGCTGGGCTGTCTCCAACCTGTGTTATGTATCACTTGGTTTAGTTAAACCAGATCACCAGTGCCCTAGCTGCATTTCTCAAAACTAGGTTGAAGCAGGTCCTTGCTCTGAAGCAGCTCCTTGCCCTCTCCTATCCCCTTCCTACTAACTCTGTTTTTTTTATTGACCAGGCCTTATTTAAGCTTAGTTGTTGCATCAGTAAGTGTAGGTCTTTTGACCTCTGAGCATCTTTTAGGAAGGCGTGATTTCTGCAGGGTGAGACCCAAGGACTTGTGTTACATGGTTGTTTTCTGCTTTTTAACTTGCAGGCAGGGGATACTGCGCTCCATGTAGCTGCTGCTCTAAATCACAGGAAGGTGGTTAAGCTGTTGCTGGAGGCAGGGGCTGATGCATCCGTTGTCAACAACGTAAGCGGGACGTGGTTTCTTCAGTATTCTGTATTAATGCAGGCTCCCTTCAACACTCTTGGTAGAAAATATTTGGATGTAAGAGTTCAATTAAATCTGGGTAAATGAAAGCAGTTAGCCACTTTACTCTTGTACACAGAGAATGTGCTAACCTTGGGTGGAGAAATTCCACATTTCTAGTAGCTTGTGTTTTGAAGAAAGTGCCATTGTCTTTTTCTTCTCAGGCAGGTCAGACCCCTCTAGAGGTTGCCAGACAGCACAATAACCCTGAGGTGGCACTCCTCCTCACTAAAGCATCACAGGTACGTTACAAATCTGTCCCCCCAAGACGTATGTATTCTGGTATGAGACCAGGCGCAATCCCTGCCCAGCTCCTCCTTGTCACCCCTGTGTGAGGAGGGCTGGGCTTGGCATGGCAACCAGCCTGAGGACATAGGAGGCGGCGCTCACCTCTCCAGGGTACAGCAAAGTGCCCTGATTTTGCTCTGTGGTGGTGGGGTGTTTTCATGGCTGTAAACACCCACATTGCTTGGCCCATCAGCGTCCATCTGGCATCAGCGTCCATCTCCTTTATCAACTGCCTTTTAGATAGAGGTGAAAAAGGTCTTCTCTATTACTTGGCTTCTGTGGTAGGAAAGAGCATGACATCACTGAGTAACAGTGTGGTCTGCCTTCAGGTCTCACGCTTTAACCGTGGAAGAAGCTTGAGGAAGAGGAGAGAGAGACTGAAGGAGGAAAGGCGAGCTCAGTCGGTACCACGGGATGAAGTGGTACAGAGCAAGGTACAGCCCGGCATTACCAGCTGCATCTCCTGCAAGGAAGGAGTGTAAATAAAACCCATCAGGACTAAATCTGTTTGGAGCCATCTGCATGACCACAGCAGCTGTCTGAGGCAGTCTCTCATGCTTTGCTGCTAAAGAGTTGCCCACTCACGTGTGCAGAGCAGCTTAAAACTGGGAAGTTTAAGAAAAGGCACCATTTCCCCATCTCTGCAACTGCTCTGAACTCCCTGTCTTTGCTTCAAGCAGGGCAGCGTCTCAGCTGCTGATGACACGCCGAGCAGTGACCAGCCACCACAGAGGAAGAACAATCTGAAAGATGAACCCCGGTCAACCTCACCAGATCCCAGAGGGAAGAAGAGCAAAAAGAAAAAGCCAAAGGAAAAGGTATTGGTAGACTTAAAACAGCAGGGAAGGAGTGGCTGAGCAATAGTGCAGATACCCCTTTGGCTGTGCTCATGGGGCAGAGGTAGTCTTCAGACAAAAATGATTTCTGGTGGGGAAATTCTGCTGTTGAGGGTCACAGGAACCAGAATTTGTGTGCAAATCTGGTTATTGTGCTGACAGCCACTGAGGTTGTTGCCAGCCACTGGACTGGTGTTTTAATCAGGTTTTTGCTGTAATTGTCTCAATGGATTTGTCTCGTTCCCACCAGGAACGAAGAGTTTACCAGGGGGGTCATAAATAGGGAAAACGTTCCTGTGTATTTTCTGCAGGTTTCAGCACTCTCAGACCCCATCTCCCCAGCTGATCAGCAGACACTCCCTCGACCCCAGCAAAACGTGCCTAAGCGTAGAAGTAAACATCACTGCTCCTCTCCACCCCCTCCGCACGAGGTCCGAGCCTACCAGCTCTACACGCTCTACCGAGGGAAGGACGGGAAGGTGATGCAGGTGAGCCAGCCGCTGCCCTCGCGGAGGGAGATGCAGGGAGCAGCGCTTGGAGCTGGGGCACAGTTAGTTAACTGATGGAAAACACGCTCAATTAACTGCACTCTAAGGGGTATGAAATATCTTTTCCTTGTTTGGGCTTCAGCTGCGTTTTGGCCTGAAGTCTGGTAAACAGTAAGCTGGTTTTGTGCATGTTAAAGAAGACAACTAGTTTTGAGCTACAAAGTACTTCTTTTTTGGAGATAAGTTATGAACAGGGATTGGAAATGACACTGAAACTTTTACGATATGCTTTGAACTACTGAGATTTCTGACAGGAAATGCAAAGAGCTTTTCCAAGGAAAATAAATGAGAGCAGTGTGTGAGCACTGAAGCTTGCTACCTAAACCAAGAGCTTGAGTACGCTTGATACATTTTGTTTCAGTTTCTTCTGTTTATTGCAATATGCCTTTGAGTATTCTAGGATTACTGGAGGCAGAAGCTGTACAGAAATTGGTTCACAAATAAACCTGGAGTTACCAGCTCATGTGCATTTATTCCAGTTTAGAGACTGATATTTTAGTCATTTTACTATGCAAGTATTTACTAGTGCACATTTATAAAAAAGCATGAAAACAGTCAGCAAATTACCCTGTAGACATTATAAACATCTACAGTGTTGTTTTAATATTGCCCTCCTGTACCTCTGGGAGGTCAGTCCTTTCGTTTCCTTATTTGCAAATTCAGAAGATTCTGATCACTCAAGTCAGACTTCAAATTTTTACTGCCCATATTTTCCAACATCTTGCTGTGTAACGCTTGGGAAATTTCCAGACAGGGGGACTATGGGATTATCCTACTAGCAGACATCTAGCAGACTAGCATCCAGGAAGGATGGAGGACCTGTCATATGTTAAAAGCAGCATCTCCCTGCCCCCAGGATCTGATGGTTGGAGGATGGCCAGTAGGAAGGACTTGGGGAGTAGGAATAAAGGTGCAGAGGGTAGATAGGATTTGTACACAAATCTAATCTATTCACAAAGATTAGTTTAATAGAGCTAGACTCCCCTATGGTATTTCCTGAAATACATGACACTCCTCTCTCCCCTTTCTTTTTGCTCATCTGCTTTCTTTAATGCCCTCAGGCCCTGAATAGCAAACAGCATTTCTTAACCACATGTATTTCTGAAGCTTTCTCTAGTGCTCTGCAAACCACCCACCTTCCCCTACCAGGGGAATAACCCTCAAGTTGTGAAACGGTACTTCAGGGCCAAAGGAGAGAGGGAGGCTCCTCTGCAGCCAGATTCAGAGCAACTGCTTTGGACTTCTGACTCACCCCTCTGAAGGGAGCCAGTTTCTGCCTGTGAACTGCAGAGGTGATGAGGGAGCCTTTTGGGACCATCTCCTGAGAGATTTCAACGTGGTCAGTGCAACTCCCCTTGCAGAGGAGCCTTGGGGCGGTGTCACACAAGCCAAAGAAAGGCAGCAGTGTGCACAGCAGCTAAGGGTCAGCTGAATGCCAGTAGGGTGAAGGCAGGAGCAGTGAGACAGTGCCATACAGTACAAAAAAACCCCACATCATTGGCATTAGGTTAAAAACCAAATGCAGCCAAAACTCACACACATCCACAAAATCCAGTCTTTTTTGTACAGTTCATAATTGCGGTGTTGAGACATGCGGTACAGGCCCGTAATGTGGGATCCCCTTACACGGCGCACGGTACCACGACAGATGTGATCTGAGCTCATTGCTGCTTGTAGCCCCAGTGAAATCCAACACTGCTGAGTGTTATCATGTGTCCATATAAATCAGATCAATCCTCTTCTAGCCTGTGCTTTTCCAACTAATAGCCTGTTTGCTGAGTTACTGTAAGATGTTACCAGGAGGGTGAAATACAGAACGTGGTACAGAGGAGCCCAAGACTGATTCAAGGAGGCTGTGGTAGTGTTCCAAGTACACTAAGAAGGCAGTGCAATGCAGCAAGTAAATGTGTTATTCCTTTCAGGCACCAATAAATGGATGTCGTTGTGAGCCCCTGATAAATAAACTGGAAAATCAGCTGGAGGCAACGGTAGAAGAGATAAAAGCTGAGTTTGGGACAGTACAGGATAAGATGAATGTTAAGCTGGGCCAGATGGAAAGCAAAACTCAACATCAAGTAAGAATAGGACCCAGCGGTCTGCTTGTCCACGTGACTGTTAGAAACATATCCTAAGCTTAATGAATATTTTCATTGTCATGATTTGTTTATTGCTTCTTGTGTTGTACAAACAAACCTGAAATCTAATACTCAAGACCAGGGAACTGTGACATTCCACAGGGATCTAAAGTTTCAAACTAGGGTCTTGAGAAATACACATTTAATTTGATGTGAGTTACTAGACAAATATCTAAAGTTCTTGAGGCCCTAAGAGGAAAACTTAAAGACAGAAGGCAGTCCTACAGCTGGTCGCTTCATAATTGTATGAATTATTTCTGAATTCTGTTTGCACTGAGATTTAAGATCCTCTGAATTATTTTTTATTTTTAATGTAATTGTTATTCATCAACAATTTTGTGATTGAACCTTTTTGCAAGCTACATCTAATTGTAGTTGGCAGCATTCCTAGAAAAAAAACCTGGAAGACAGACTGTACTTTGACTTATAAGGTTCACATATGGGGGTTTTGTTTGGTCATCTCAACATGATCATCTCAGCTAAATTGTGGGTTTTTTTCCACAGCTCCGTGTTTTAGACAAGCTTATGGCTGAGCGGCTGTCCGCAGAGAGAACAGAGTGCCTTCACCGCCTGCAACAGCACACTGAGCTGGAAAAAAATGAGGGGGAGAAACGGCAGGTAGGGCTTGAAACAGCTACTCCCTGTTACTCAGATGGATCAGCTCAAGAGTTTTGTTCCAGCAGGCAGAGAGAATATTGAAGATTTATCTCATCTGTTGAAACAGGCAAAAGAGCTTCAAAGACTGAATTATTTCTATCCACCTCCTTAATCTCTAAACCAAATTTATAAAGCCTTTGCATTAGAAGTGGGGAGTGTGGCATCCAGTCCAACTGTCATAATTTAACTTGGTGGGTCTGGTGTGGGATCTGTAACAAAATATCTTTTTTCTAACATAGTGCTTTCCAAAAATTCCTACCCCTAAATTTTTAACAGTTATGCTTTCAGCTTTTGCTTCATTAAAAGACATCTGCAGGAACATCTGCAAATAGTAACAAAGGCTAAGATTTGTGGTGTTCCTTTTACTTCTCATCCATTTGGTTCTGTGCCCTGGGAGTCTCTCCCCTTCTTCTCTGTCTGATCATATTTTTTTTTCCCCATGTATTAAAAGGCTGCAGTTCTTCCTTCTGACTTTGGCAACAGCGCACCATCTCCAAGCTGTGTATTACTGCCAATAGGCAAGTTCTTTTTGTATGCTTGTTTAACCAGCATTACTAGAAAAACTGTTCCCATAGAAATCCAGCTCTTGCCTGTCTAGCTTCTGCAAAAACTCACCATTAAAACAGAAATTTGTGTTTCTCCACTCACATGGCTAAGTTTAAAATACAGTTGATTTTCTCATTATTGGTATTCTTCTAAGAATTGAGAAATACATTCTGTGCTAGTAAAATGTCATCTAAGACCATTCCAAATCCTTGTTAAAAGACTGGCAGCTGTGATAATCCTAGCATGAACTACTGATCAAGATACTTCGGTCTAAGATCTGCAAAACACTTTTATCCAAAGAAAAGTACTTACCAAACTAAGGCAGCTTTAGTTTTAATTTCATAGCAAGAGACATAAGTATTATATTGGCTTCTGAATGTCTCAGCTTGTACTCTATCTCCTTGTAATCTCTATTTAAGAACTGAGATACTGGAGTGATACATTAGGGGAATTGAAATTACCATTGAGTGATATCAGCTGGAAGTTCTGTTGGGTCTAATTGAAACTACTGGAAAAACTGTGTTGGGCTTTATTAAATGCAGTGGCTAAATGTGTATGTGCATAGGAGGGCCACAGGAACTAAATTCATGATGTCATTTGAACAAGAGGGTAAAAGAGCTATCACATTTTAAATGATCACTGGCAAATGCCTCTGCAGCTGACACTTATTAAGCACCTTTGTAATTCGAAAGCTGTTAGTAATTTATCATGGGGTCATCGTTATCACCAAATGAACAGAGGAGTAGAGGTTGGTAATGGTGTAAAGCTGTGACCTAGAAGTGTCTAATTTGAATTTCACTCTTAAAACCTGGCAGCTTTGACAACATGAGATGTTCCTTGCACTTAGGAAGTGCCATTGACTTTATGATTAAACAAGTCATCCCTGATCAGAGGACTTAAGAGTTGCATGTGAAGTACATTCAAATCTAAATGGTGGGAGCTTGGACTAAAGAGGGTGCCTTTCATTAGCTAATGCATAGTTCTTAAACTTTTTCTGATTTGCAGTCCTTTATTTCCAGTGGCAGCATGCACATCTGTACAGGGAGTCTAAGCCTGCAGATTCAAAGACAAGCTTGCTTCTCTTTGTCCCTGCCACATGTCCTCAGCAGCCCAGGAACCATAGGATCTAATCAGAGGATCATCTAATTTGCAGTCTCTTTCTCATAGATTTCCTTGGTTGATGAGCTAAAGACTTGGTGCCTGTTGAAGATTCAGAATCTGGAGCTCAAGCTTTCTGGTGATTCCAGGTCATCAAGACCAAAATCAACTTTGTCCACTTGTGAGTCTCTCACTGAGACCCTGGATACTGAGAACAACCCCCACAGTGCCAAGGACTGTAAAGCCAACCAGCCCGTGCTGCAGTCAGAGGGCTCCCACCAGCATTCCTATATCACGCTTCCGAACAGCCTCTCAGAAGATGGGGGAAGGAGCAGAATCCAGATGCCAGAACAGAGCTTCGGGCAACATTTTTGCATTCAACAAGATGGTGCGTCGGGTACAACCTTGTCAGGTACTTAGATGTCATATTCATTCAACAGTTAGCTCATTAACTGAGGGATACTTGTATTAATACCACAGATATTAATTATGGCTGTGTGCTTTACCCCATCCAGCTGCCTAATGTCTTGGGATTAGAATATACTTAAAGGCAGCCACTGGGAGTATTTGAAGACATGACAGGGTGGAATTCTGCTGACTCTTTATGGTGCTTCCCTGTCACTGTGCCTTTGAAGCCAGGTCCTTTGATGCTTTGAATAACTCTATTTTCTGAAATTTCTCCAGCTTCCAAGTGAGAATTGCTCCCACCCTGTTGTCTGCCAGGAAGGTGTGCAAATGATCCAAAGTCTGCTGAAGAAAGTGTATTTAGTTCTTTTCAGATGCATGGAACCTATAATGACAGGGTGCAGGGATGTGAACCTGAAATACTCATTTCCCTGGTTAATGTTCAAACTGCAAGGATATAGAATAAAACTCTCAGTTTTTCGTCTTTTCTTGAACCAAAGTCTGTTTAATTATTAGTTCATCTGACAAGAAAAAAAAAATAGCTGATAACACTGAAGCCCACTCAGGGATCAAGGCCATCTGAAGATACAGTTCAAGGCACCTCTCTGTGCTTGGCCAGCGAAGCTTTTGAGGGGGAAAAAAAAAAAAAAAAAGACAGGCAGAATGAGCATGTCTCCACAACCAAGGAGAATGCTGTTGAAACCCCAGACTGCTGTAAGAACAGACATGGACATGGGTACCCTGTCAGACTAGAAAGGCAGAAGACCACACAAGAGAGCTTGTGGTAGTGTGAGCATGAGCTATACTGCGTTGAACAGTTCAGGAACATCAAAATGTGTGACCTTTGCAAAAATGAGTGGGGCTTCAAGTTTTGTAGAAGCAGGGGGTTCATAAATATCAGCAGACGTAAACTACTTTGGGAATCTAGCCTGATATGTTACATGATCTTCTGATGAAGTCCTTTGTTGTCAGTCTGTAGCCCCACAGCCGCAATGCAGTGTCTCTGCCTCAGCCAGCTTTTCTCTTCTAATGACTCTTTATTATATCACCTGACTGTGAAGATGCAATGAACTAGTATAATCCTCTACACTGTACACACAGCACGGTACATAGGAAGCCCCATCATTCATTGAACGATGAGGATTTCTGAATGCTTAAGTAAATGCCCAGAGCTTTTCTAAATACATATGTATATTTTTATTCTGTAGGTACTGAGCAACAGTTAATTGTTGGCGGACCAGTTTCTTCTTCTGCCGCTGTCCAAGATGTCAGGCCAAAGGACAAAGCTGTTAGTGCCAGCACGTTCCACAGGTTCCAGCAGGACCTGCCCTCCTCTGAGCTTTTGGGCTCCAAATTAAGACACGTTAAGGTTCAAGCTGCTTTGCAGCCCTTGACTGAACCTACAAAGACTGAACCACAGAGCGGCTACTTCATCGACAAAGGAACTCAGACAAAGAAGTCCAGCAAAAGCGGGCAGTCAAGGCATAGAGCTCCGCACCACGCCGGGGTCCATCAGAGCCAGGAGCAGCAGCCCTCGGGCCTGCCTGCGGGACAGCCACCTGCCCCTCCGCTCAGAGACACCTCCCAGGCCCTGGAGATAACACAGTACTTCTTTGAGGCTGTTTCCACGCAGATGGAGAAGTGGTATGAACGGAAGATAGAAGAAGCCCGGTGCCAAGCTAATCAGAAAGCGCAGCAAGACAAAGCTGTGCTCAAGGAGCATATTAAAAGCTTAGAAGAGGAGCTCAGCAAATTAAGGACTAAGGTGCAGAAAGAGAGCTAGCATTGACCAAGCAGGTAAAGACAAGCAGCAGGACTCATTTTGGAACCTGCTGTACAGGAATCTGGAATGTTGATAGATATATTTGTAGTGCCTGTTATATCAAAAAAAAAAAAGCGCTCTTTTTCCAGAGTAGGAACTCCAGAACTATGGAGAATTCATATGCAGACTGTACTGATGACAATGAAATGCTGCAGATCAGATCCTTTCTTTGTTATTCCCAAGAGTCCGTTAAATATTGCACTCTCAATTTCCAGGTGCTGCTTGAAAACAAACTGCATTAGAAACCAAAACTGCTTTCTGAAAAGGGAATTTCCTTATTTCCACATAGGTTGTGTGTGGCTAGAGGGTTCCACTGTATGCTTCACATGGTGATACCAATACTGAAATAAATCCAGGATGTTTGAGAGCTTTTGAAAAATTCCTCAGTGATGAAGGGCTACTGATACTATTTTGGATACTCCCCACGGCCTCTCTCTAGTCACTGGAGAGAAGCTACAGAACCAACTCAAATGACAAGCCCTTGTAGGTGACAGGAGCAGGCTTCCAGCTGGGAGAGGTCAGGCTCCCACAGAGTGAGATGCTAAGGTGAGTTATCCCCTTAGGTACAGAGGCTTCAGTTGCTGCTTTGCTTTTCTGTTTTACATTATTAAAACAAATGCCAAAATACATTTTGGGTTTTTTAATGGTGTCTTGGTTGCAAAGCTCTTGGTGGTTACATGGCTGTTGGGGCTTTACTCCAGTAATCTTACTGAGAAGTTTTGTTTGGGACATGGATGGCTCTACTTGTTAGGTATAATTTTAATATAAAATCTTTTTCCTTCAAGCAGCAAATGGCTGAATTCTCTACTACTGAAGAAGCTTGAAAAAAAAATCCTTTATCTAAAGAAGTGAAAGCTTGGTTCCCCATACTCAAATGTTTCTTTTTTGCAGAGTCAGTATTTTCTCCCAGACACTTTGTCCAGACTGTGTTCCTTTGTTCCTCTGAATGATTCTTCTGTTTTTTTTTTCTTGTTATCTCTTAAAAAGAGACCAGACCCTGGTGAGTCTGCAGGTCTTGGAACTGGTTTCACCAACTGTCCCATAAAACAGAGCTCAACAACGTTTCAGAGTTTTTACAGATGTGTTTTCTTATAAAATCAAAACTTACAATGGCCACTGTTGCCCAGGCTGACAGACTCCAAATCAACCAGAGACACGATAACTTGTTGCATCTGTATCCATTTAAGGTTTCCTCCTTATACCTCTGAGAAGGCTCCATCAGATTCTGTTAGAAGTTTACTTAACAGGTCATGACAGAACAATTGTTGAAAAACAATTCAAACACAGGATAGTACTGTTATGCCAAGGAGATTTTTTTTCTGTACTGAGGAGCCCTAAAATCAATACAAAATACAGTATTGAAGACACCATTGACTGAGTAATTAAGCTTTTCTCTTCTTAGCAGATGTATAAAGCAAAGAAAATTGTATTATATAACAATATTTTTAAAGTTACTATTCATGCACTATCAAGACAAGAAAAGTCTATCTGCTGTTATGGAAGTACTAGTTTTATTGCTCTGACTTCTGTAGTCTAATATAGACACTTTCATACGTTTACAGTTATGTTTAAGCTACTGTAGGAATGCAGAAGCATGCTATTTAAGTTTTGTATCACCTTGATAAAGTGAATGTTTTGCCAACCAATTAAAGTTAAGTGTTGCTCAGAAGTCTGTGGTGCAATGTTTTCTAGCCAGAGACAATAGACAAAATGCCCTCACTTGACTCAAAAGGGAAAGCAGAAAATTGGACTTCAACTTCTAAGCTTTTGTGGTTGTGGCTATAAAAGATGGAAACCAGGTCTGCTGACTGTCCTGAGGGAGGCTGCAGGGAGAGAGTGACTTCCATTCGTTAGCTGATGCACACACCCACCATTTCAGAAGATACTGACACAGGGTTGAGTGTGCAGCTGATCACACACACCCTCGAGCTTGCACAGGTGCAAGGGAAACAGAAAGACTCTGGATTTAGCTAATCAACTTCACATACAAACTGCACTACCAAGGTAGCCATTGGAGCACTGATGTAAGACACTAACTTGGCTGCAGAGTACTATTTTCAGAAGGTTTTTGAAGCCAAGTGTACTGTAAAATAAAGGGAGGCATTTTCTGCTAATTCCTTTTTACTCCCTGCTGTTGTCCTCCCTCCTTCAAAGCTACTAGAGTTGAAGGAATTCTTTACAAAATACCTCTGTGTTGGAGTAGCAAACTACACTTGGATTCCTAAAAGCTTCTGTCAGGCACTTTTATCTCAATGAGTCCACAAAGCTGCAAAGATCAGAGGCAGCAGCACTCATGACGCCAAGGGCTGTCCAGGGCCTTGCCTGTGAAGACCCATTGCTGGGTTATGTGGCCACAACCTAGGAACGTGCAAACTGGTGTCAGGGGAGCAATGCAGACTCAGGGCTCCGCAGGGAAAGGCTCCTAATTAAGGAGCAGAAATCAAACCACTGGCTGGAGGGAAACGGAAGGCTACATGTGAGAACAAACCAACACTGATTATGGCTTTGTTTAGTCCAAGTTTCTTTCTAAACAGTGTTTTCTGGTAATGTGAAAAGCCAATCCCCAGCACACCAGTGTTCTGTCAATGCATTATACCAGAAAATGTTAACAAAATTTAGATTTTTAACAAAATATTTAGACATATTTTTCACTGACTGATCAGAAGCTCAACGGTTTCTGTCTACAAACCAGAACTCTGTAACAGCCTCACTGGCTGTCTGAGCCACATAATTTACTGCAAAGATAAATAAGCATACAGGAAAGGATCCTACAATGACTTTCAGAAAAAGAATTAGTTAAAAAAAAAAAAAAAGGCATTCTTTCTGATTAAGCAGCAGCTCTTTACAAAGCAGCTTTGCTGAAGTATGTAGCTTTGAAGACTTTATTTGGCTCCAGCAAGTAGCATACCTGCTGCTCCAGAGTGAGGTCTTTCTTCCCTGGTAGGGGAATATGGTCCTGTCCCCTCCTTTGTGCCAGCAGTGGACATGCTGTGAGGCCGTCCAGCTTGCAGAAAGCCTCCTGGGCAAGGGGAGATGGCTCCCCCAGTGAACTCAGAGCAGAGGGGGAGAGGGAAGGGTTCCTGCATCCACTGAAACCACAACCTCAATTGCACACAGCTACTGAATAGTCAGGAATCTATCTACTGCTGTCTGGCTATTTATGCTGGGCCTTTTTAAACTGTATGGGGAAAAAAAAAAAAGATATACTGCAATTTACAGGAAGGTAATGAGTTCTTAGGCATTGGAATGAGTTGCCCAGGGATGTGGTGGAGTCTTCACCCCTGGAGCTGTTAAACAGTAGAGTCAACATCGTCCTGAGGGATCTGGTGTATTTGGGAACTGCCAAGTTAATGGTTCGACTGGATGATCTTCAAGATCTTTTCCAACCTAGACAATTCTGTGATTCTGTGTAAGACAGCTGCAAGCTAACAAAAGCAGAGTAATACAACATTTGGAAAAACAGACCACAATATTTGAGGTTAGTATTTTCTGTCCATAATTCTACTTTATATTGACTTTTAAACACTAACTTGAAGGTACTAACTGTTTCTAGGGCTAAAATATCTCATAAAAGGGGAGGTCTCTGTAAGTTTTATTCGGCTATAACTGAAAATCAGTATCTACATACAGAACATTTTCCTAATGTTTTGTGTGTTTGTTTTGAGCCCCTGTTTATCTCAAATGCTTTTTTTCCTTAGCACAGTACAGAAAGAGCTGTTACTACTTAAGAGTTGCCACAATAGAAAACAGACAAAATAATACAGTTTATATTTATTTTCCATTTCCCTGGCATAACACTGCTGTTGTAATTTTTGGTGCTTTCTGCCTTTCCCATAGCATGTGCTACATCATCCATTCATCTCTTTACAGTCCTTTGTGTCTGAGCGATTTCCACATGGGACGGTAATAAAACCAAGAAAAGGAAGGTGAAAAAGCAAACAACCCCACTGTGGTAGGTTCCACCTTCAAACATTACCAGGTTGTCAGCAAAGGCTGCTATTATAACCACATTTTGGAAAAAATACTATGCTTGTTCACAGCAGATGGAAGTCTAGCTGTCAACAAACTTAAGATCAAGATTTTGCCAGTTTAATTGTTCTCTGAAGTTCTTGAAGTTGCATGTTGCCTTGAGTAATCATCATCCTGATTGCATCCTGTAGAATGAAACTGAATTTACTGAATGTCTGTACACAGCACAGGTTTTACGAAAGCACGCAGATTTTAACACATTAAAATACATACAATTCTTACCAGCACTATTGTGATCTTTGTCTGATGCAAAGCTGTTGTCACTGAGATGGTCAAAAACCAGGTGAAGAAATTAATTTTCTCCAATTCCTTAACGATGTGTTTGGGGGCTGGTTATGGCTTTGCTTTATAACTTAACTTTTGAATTGGACTCAAACTCCTACTAATGTTTTCTTTATGCCTCTGTGTCTGCTGCCTTTGCAAGTAAGTAGTGGTAAGTTCATATGGATGTTACGATGCCAGGTGTTTTATGGAGCAAGTGGATGCTTCTCTCAATGTTTTTATCTAAAGAACTTTTATGCTTTGTCTGCATAATGCAGCTACCAAGTTCTTGAGCGCTGACTAGAAAAAGGAACACACTATAAAGCAGAGGACAGGAGACATACAAAAAATGTAAAGGTTTCTGCATTTCATACAGGCTTCATATCTACAACCATCCAATTTGACTGTGTTCATCTTGAATATAGTTGAAATTAAAGATAAAAAAAGATAGAAGATAAAAGCTTGATCATTAATATGTTAGTTGTCATATTATTCAATTTTTTTTTTCTTATTTGTGGTTTGAGTAAGCACGATTTGCTTGTTTTTTAGCTTTTTAATTCTAGATTATTATCTGGACATCAGAGTAACCACTACTGCCACGGGGAGGGGATGGGGTGTGTGTGTGTGTGCGATAATATTTTGAGATGCTGAATTATTTCTTCACATAAATGCTCCTTAAGAGAAAATAACAGGGGCCTCTTCACCAGCCTAGAAGTGACACCTACAGCACAAGGCACACCAGGACAGTATGCTGATCATTCCCCAGGGCAGGTGCTCGGGGTTGGGAGCCCTGATCCTCACCTCTTCTGTAGCATCTTTATTTCTCCTGAATTCCTCCCTGGCCCAGTCCTTCAGATAGTGACGATCTGCTTCATCAGGGACGTCGCGAATAGCCCGCAGGATCTTCTTGTATAACTGAAGAACCTGCTGTCGCCTCAGGAACTGGGAAGAGAGAGTCAAGTCCATCCGCTGTCCCAGGACACTCCGCCGAAAGCAAGCTGTGCCCTCGCGACTTTGCTTTGAGGGACATTTAAACCAACCCCAAGTTCCCCCGTCGCTTTTCCTAAAAGATGCAGTGTTGCTGTGGATCCCCGCCCGAGACATTTACACTTCGCACGGGGGAACAGGCCGTGCCCAAGGCTAGCTGTGCGCACCGAAAGCAGCGTGCCAAGGGCGGCTGCCAGCCCACCCTCAGGCCAC